ATGTGGAGCTGCTGGAGAGTCCAGCGCAGGGCTATGAGGATGATCAGGGGCCTGGAACATCTGCCCTATGAGCAAAGGCTGAGAGAGCTGGGCCTGTTCAGCCTGGAGAAGAGGAGGCTGAGGGGGGCCTGATCAGTGTCTATAAATACCTCAAGGGAGGCAGTGAGGACGAGGAGGCTGGCCTCTTTTCAGTGGTGGCCAGCGATAGGACTAGAGGAAACGGCCACAAGCTGAGGCACCAAAAGTTCCTCAGGAACTTAAGGCAACGCTTCTTGACAGTGAGGGTGACAGAGCCCTGGAACAGGCTGCCCAGAGAGGTTGTGGAGTCTCCTTCTCTGGAGATCTTTAAAACCCGCTTGGATGCAGCCCTGTGCCCCCTGCTCTAGGTGACCCTGCGTGAGCAGGGGGGTTGGACTAGAGGACMTCTGAGGTCCCTTCCAACCTTAAGCATTCTATGATTCTATGATTAATTTCACAACCCTAACTCGGCTATTGGAAGTTGACTGCAACAGTTAAAGTAGACCTAAGATACAATTAAAGACGCCTTTTTTTTTTCTCCATAGAATCTACACCAGATTCAACTCCTTAGATGTCATAATGAAAAATGCATATTTTTTAAATATTTAACAACTTGTTTATTCTTCTAGCATAGAATGAGGCAAGCCTGGTTAGGTTGCAGGAAAGATCTTTAGTTTGACAGATTTAGAGAATCAAATCCATAAATGCTTGCTCTACAAAGACTGAAAACAAAGTATAAGAAGAATGCATTTAYTTTATAGTTTAGAGCTTCCACCCCTCTGTATTGTATAAGCCATATATAATCTATCATATATAGATAGATCAAAATACACTGACACCCAGTTAGTGTAACAATAAAGCTGTACAGTTAGCCAGAATATAAAGATAAGAACTATAATATTTTTCCCCAGAGACTCAAGGAAAAAAAAAAAACAACTGTAACATTGGATTAACTAAACAGAGAAAGTGCTATTCTAACATGAATTTTCAGAAACCATCACTTAAAGGGAGGATGATTTCCCTTTCAAATGTGGATGAAAAGTAAACTAGGATTACAAAGAAAAGAAAGCATATAAGCCACATAAATTAACTGCATCTGTTCATTAAGTAATTTTAAAACACATTACTTACAACTTCATTAAAAGAACAYCCAATAATCTGTAACATGACAGCTGGAAAGTCAAGGTTTGAGCAACCCCTGGCTGCCCAGTGTCAAAACCAGCCTGAAATCCTTCTTCCCGATTAGGGTTAGGGTTCAGAAAACCAGAGAGCGTAGAAGCACCGTTATAGTGGGAGTGGAAAGAGACTCCTGAAAGAAACTTTGGGATGTAGAAAAAGCTCCATGCGGAGTCTTTTTTGGTATGAGCGACTCCTGGCTGCCCAGTGTCAAGACCTGCCTGGAATCCTTCTTCCCGATTAGGGTTAGGGTTCAGAAAACCAGAGAGCGTAGAAGCACCGTTACAGTGTGAGTGGAAAGAGCCTCCTAAAACAACCTTAGTGAAACAGAAAAAACTCCCTTTAGAGTCCTTTTAGGAATGGATGACTCCTGCCTGCTGATAGTCAGAAGAGGCCTGAAATCCTTCTTCCCAGTTAGGGTTAGGGTTCAGAAAACCAGAGAGCATAAAGTTATCCTTTTATTCGGAATGGAGACTCCTAAAACCACCTTAGTGAACTAGAAAAACCTCCATGCAGAGTCCTTTTAGAAAGGAGTGACTCCTGGCTGCCCACAGTCAGAACAGGCCTGAAATCCTTCTTCCCAATTAGAGTTAGGGTTCAGAAAATCAGATAGCGTAGAAACACCGTTATAGTGGGAGTGGAAACAGACTCCTAAAAGAAACTTAGGGAACTAGAAACACCTCCCTTTAGAGTCCTTTTAGAAATGAACGACTCCTGGCTGCCCATAATGTGAAGAGGCCTGAAATCCTTCYTCCCAGGTAGGGTTAGCATTCAGGAACCCAGAGAGCCTACAAGTACCCTTTTATTCAGAATGGAAAGAGACTCGTAAAAGAACCTCAATGAACTAGAAAAACCTCCGTTCAGAGTCCTTTTAGGAATGAGCAACTCCTGGCTGCCCACAGTCAGAACAGGCCTGAAATCCTTCTTCCCCATTACAGTTAGGGTTCAGAAAACCAGAGAGCGTAGAAGCACYGTTATAGTGGGAGTGCAAAGAGACTCCTGAAAGAACCTTAGTGAACTAGGAAAACCTCCCTTCAGAGTCCKTTTAGGAATGAGTGACTCCAGGCTSYCTACAGTGAAATCTGGCTTGAAATCCTTCTTCCCAGTTAGGGTTATGGTCAGAGTTCAGTAGATAAAACATCTATCTTTACAAAACAGTTGAAGCTGTATCTATTTTTCTTAGCTTTTACTAGCAAAATCAATAAGTATTCCTGACAATAGTTTCTACCATTCCTTAGAGCTTTATCTTGACTTTTATCTCTAAGTAGATGCTTTGTAGCAGAGTAACTTGCATTGAAATCTTCGCTCAATTTAAACTCAAGGAAGYGGGCAAAAAAGTACACTATTTCAGCACCAACACAAATAGCTTTAATTCTTGCTAGCTCCTTAATTAAATTCACTCTCCCTAGAGAGTAATCAATTTAAAAATATACTTTTATTTTGAGACCCTCAAGCAGAAATAAATACAAAACATAACCAATTGTAGTTTTCATGCGTTCACTTTTTCCCTACAGTGGCGGCAAAGTCATAATAAAGTACCCAAGTATTCTGCTGTGTTCACTGCTGAATGTATGAGCCTCCCCTTTTCACTGCAGAGCAGGGACTCCCAAGGACTCCACATCATGCCTGTTAGCTCTTCACTTGGCCTCTATTGGGGCAGACAAGGGCTCAGGCAAGTACTTGCAGGCATTACCTCTCTGACCAAGGCATCTCACACAGAAGGAAATAGCTTGTTCTGCTGCAATGCATGAAGGCTAATAAATGCATATTTACATTTAGGGAGGTGGGAGGGGGAAGGAAGAAGGGGGAAGGGAAAGAAAGCATATAAGCCATATAAATTAACTGCATCTGTTCATTAGGTAATTTTAAAACACATTATTCGATGTTCTCTTAATGAAGTTGTAAGTAATCTGTAACATGACAGCTGTAAAGTAAAGGCTTGAGCAACCTCAGTAAAAATGTAAGAAAAAACATAAATCATTATTACTTTCTATTCAACAGGACTTTCTCATTTACATAGGTATCAAAAGATTTCAGAAGTTTATTTTAAGTCAAGATGRATAGCTGGATCCTGATGTATGCAGTTGTGAAAGTATCCACTTGCTTTGCTTACTGAGAGACCAAAGTCCTTTTTCCTGTGTGAAGAGAAAAGCAGGGAGGGAAAAATATGCTAAAAATTCCAAATGGTTATTCACCCATCCAGTAGATAATAAGCTTTAGTATGTGTGATTCTGCAAGACCTTTTTTGGAAGGGAGGACAGGAAATTAGGTGCCTGATTTCTTCAGGAGAAGATTTCACTATTCAGAGCAGAAAGCTAACAAAAAAACTTAACTTGACACTTATTGATAGAGCAAGAAAGCAACAGTACAAGAGTCAGTGTATATATAGGAAAAGTATTCCCTGTAAAAGCATTTCTACTCCCTGCATAAGCATTTATACTTTCATTTTTTACCAAAGATAAGAAGATGCTATCTTTGACATCCATTAAGGAAGAGTTTCCCCTGTAAAAGTAATAATCTAATAGATTTGTAAGTGTGAGTGAAAGACTAAGAGATTTAACTTGTTTTGAGCAGGAAATAGGATAACAAAGAGAGGCTAATAAGTGTTATTTTTTAGTTTCTATTCTGTTTTATCAAGTACAGATCATACTTTACCAGATATTCTTCTGTCAGTCACACTACAAGATTTAATCAATTCCATAGGAATATAATGTGTCAGTAGAGGTCAAAAAGCATTCCAATACAGAAACACCCCTGATTTTAGGGTCATACCATTTCACAAGAAATAAAAACCCTAAAAGAACACACCAGGCATCAAAAATCTTTTAAGACGAGTTTTGATGTATTATTTTAAGGATTTTAATAAAGATATAATCTTTCAAAGAGAATTAGAACCCAATTCAAGAACATTTCATTGATGGAATTGATCCACTTCATAGAGTGACCATTTTCACACAAAATTTACTAACCACGGTATATCTATTAGAAGAGTAACAACCAAATCCATGGAAATTCCACTATTTCAAAACACACACGCATCTAATTTCTCTAGCCTTTACTTCTGAGTAATAGGGAAGGAGTTCTGGTCCATTAACTCTCCCACTCTCTCCTGGAGAAAGTTAATCAGCTCAGCTAATACAAAGACATGAGTTTCATCCAGGTCTTGTATGATGAACTTCTTCCCCAAGGCATTTGACTCATCCAAGTAAAGCAGAAACTGCTTCATTGCTGGGTCACTGTAGAGACAAATAATATCCATCAGATCCCATCTCACTCTAATTCTATACATTTTAGAACAAGCAAACAAAAAAAGCCCTTCAAGACATTTTCAGTGTTATTTAGGAAACAGTATTCAAGAATGGCTTATCGTTTGCAATCTAACAGAACTTAAAAAAAACCAACAGAAGATCACTTTGATTCACTAATTTTCAAGAAATCAGCATTAGTCCAACACCACTAGCCAAAGMGAAAAAAGCAGGGTCTTTGACAACACTGAGCATTTTTTTATGGCCCCTGAGGTGAGCACACATACCAAAAACTGGAACTACATGCCTCAATACTTGCAAAACGATGAATGCAGTTGGCTTGCCAATGCAATAATCAGCAGCATCTTGAAAAGAATTCCTGGAGTAATCTTTGAAATGCTCTGAGGACTAGTTCTCCATTACTCAAAGTACATATGGTACAGAGACACTCACTGTGACAGTTCCCTTCCCTATAGCCCCTGCAGCCAACACAGAAGCAAGCCTTMCTACTACCCTCAAACCTGCAGAAGTGTAAGTGAACAAGATAAGTTTGAAAAGCACAAACAAATCTTAAGGCTAGAGCCACCTTCAGCGGAGCCCAGGTTTATGTTCACAGCAGGAGAGAAACAGATCACAAGAAAAAAAAATAAGAACAGATAAATAAGTGATTGCAAACTTCTCCACACATTGCTATCTTTACAGATGGGAGAAGCTTCTTCTTTGTTTCATTCATTACAGACCCAAAATGCCCAAGTACCACGTGGCAGGATACTTGGTCCCGCTGGTAGGAGCAGTCTGCACAATGCTAGGCACTACCCACGGAATAGCTTTCACACTGCTAGGATGATARTGTATCTCTGTACCCTGTTTTATAATATTATACCTGCTAGAAGCCTAGGAATGAAAACACAGGAAAATATGGAAGCAGGTGTGCAAATACCTATTGAGTGCCTTGTTAATACAAAACATGGGATGTGGCCTTGAAGATAGAGAAGAACACACAAATCTTGAGTAATTTAATTGCATATACACAAGAAAAATGCAAAATAAGTAGTTAAATTGATACAAAAGTGACTTGTCAATTAATAGGCTTAGGGCTTTTCTAGCTATCACCTGTTAGCAGGCTTAMAATGCTGACGTACAGCCGACACAATATATCACATAATGCTATGCAATGACGCCACAAATCCTGTCACCTCACTCTACTTTGGAGAAATCAGTTATCCCATTGTTAGTCTGGAGATGCCAGAATATATCTAGACATGTGTACTACRTATACGCAAATAGCTCAGTTCCACATACTCAGGCACATTCTTTTTGGAGYATAAGCTGCAGTTATATGTCTGCTTTAACCAGAATTTTGACTTGAACTAATAAACTCAATCTCTCTAGAATTTGCAAAGAAGTATATCATCCACAAGAAACAAAAACTTGCAAACAATGCAGAGAACAAGAGGAAACATCTAATGGGTAAGCATAAGTAGACAGAAAAATATCTTGGAATACAAAAAAATGGTTTAGAATTAGGACTTGTCCTTTTTTTCCCCCCAAATTGCATACATACTTTTCTTTTGTCTGCTTATTAAGTTATATATCATTATTTCTCAAAACAATCACAATTTTTACTGTAAGCCTTTATAGTACTCAGAATGCTCCTACCCCTAAAGAAAGTACCAGGAACCTGCAATTAACCCTGCTACTGACCATTCAATCAGGACACCTTTCAGGACGTTCACCATCTTCTCGGGCWCTTACAAGGGCAGAAAGCAGAGGTAACAAGAAGTAGTCCTGGTTTGAGCTGGACTAGCAAACCTGCAAGAAAAACAACAACAACAACAAAAAAAGCTTTGGCTGAGCTGAGTGACTCTTCAAGATGATGCCAGATGAAGACCCTTAAAGCCCATCATCGGGAAAGGCCTACGTAGGTTTGGAGAGATCCCTGCAGGCCACCATTTCCTCTCCTTTACCTCTTTCCCTCCCCCCACTCCCCCAGCCGGGCCTAACGGCTCCAGAAGCTGCAACGGTCGCCGAGGGTCGCGCGCACAGTGCGCAGCTCCCGCTCCGCCGCAGCGGCCGGAGAGAAGGCAGCGCTCCCRAGGCGGGCAAGAGCCGCGGGCAGCACAGGCCGCTCTCCCTACCCCGGGCCCGCGGCGCGGCCCGTTACCGTTAGAGACGGCCGGAAGGGGCGGCTGGAGACCGCCGCGCAGGGCCAGGCCGGGCAACGAGCACCAAAGGCGCCTTCCCCCGCGAAGGGTAACCGTGGTGTGTGGGCGAGAGGACAAGCCGCAGCCCGCACSCAAGCACAGACCCCTGCCGCTCAGCACACGCTGCCGTTACCGGACGAGCAGTCGCTCCGCCTACGCAACCGCCACACCAACCGCCCCGGCTCCGCGCAGCGCGCACGCGCAGCGCCTCCCCTCCCCCACCGCGGCCACRCCAGGCCCCGCCCCCTGCGCTCGTCCCCGGATTGGCCGAACCGCGTGACGCGCTGACGTCACGGGGCACAGGGCGCCGGTGTGAGGCGGAGCAGGTAGCGGCGGGATCGGGGATGCGGGACGGTGGGGGGTYGGGATGCCGGGAATCGGGCCGTTCTGTCCGGGGCTCCGTGAGGAAGAGAGCGCAGGACACCCCCAACTCCACTGTCACCGCGCGCTTATTTGCCTCAAAGGGGCCCCTCCCGTTTGAACGCAGTTGTGCTCTTATTTTTTTTACTGTTGTTACGATGTTTTTGAAGGCCCCGGCCGCGAACGGTGCGGTTTTTGTGATGTTTAATCAGCGCCGGTCGGGAGGCGGCGCCGTTTCTGCCGCGGCCTCCGTGGGGCGCTGCCCGTTAGCGCGGCGGCAGCGGCCGGCGCGGCCTCCAGCGGCAGGATGGAGCCGGTGCGAAACGGGGCGGAAAGCGGGGCCGCCGGCCCGGGGCTGCCGTGCGGCCCAGCGGGCTCGGCCGGAGCGCGGGCCGGGAGCGGCCTTCCCGCAGGCAGAGCGTGCTGCCCGCTCCCCGCCTGGCGTCCGCGCGGGCGCTGCGAGTGCGGGCAGCTGCTGGAGTTCCGCTCTGTGGTTAAGCTGAATAAAAAGCGTTTTGTAAGGAGGACTTGGCTCTGTGTTTTTTTTCTAGCGATGAAAAAGACTGGGTGCTTTTATGCCCCAAAGCACGTCTTTGCCAGTGGCTTTGCTGTTCTCACACTTTAGAAATTTAACTTTCGGCAGAGAAATTTTATAAATGATAGTTTAATTTGCTCCTAAAAAGTAAAAATGTGTGTTAATTTTTGGAGCCCAGTTAACCAAATTAACAGACTTAGTTGTTGGAACAGGTGCAGATAGGAGCTCTAGAAGTAGTTGGTTCCTAAGCTCTGCTAAAACACACATGATATTGAGTAGGTTTTGATACCTGATACCTAAGGGATATTTTCATATCTGATATTTAAGGGAGAAATGACTTAGAAAAGTAGAAGTTTACTGGAGATATATAATCATTGAAAATCAGCAGTAACACGTAACTGTGTGAAACTTTAATGGAAACTTAATTGAAATGTAGACTACTGTATTTAATAGTTCAAAGATGTTTTAAAGTAGAGCTTTAATATAGAATAGTAAAATGATCCAAAGAGTGTATGTGATGACCTTTGTTGTGGAAAGACATGAGGAAAACAGGTTATTTGTTACCTTTTTTGAATCAATATTTAACTTTTTTTTTTCTTTTTTTGAGTGTACAGAATGTCAGTGACTGCCTAYTGCCTATTTTGCTGTAGAAAAATAGGAACCTCTGGACCAGCTACAAAAAGCCACCTACCCTGGCATGATATCAGTAAGTATAGTTCTTGTATTTCTATGAAGATCAAGCTGAGATCCCAATTTAAAAGAAAAATGTTTTTGCTATGGCACCTTGCATAATTAAGTGATAGAAAARATCCAAGTCCCTGAATATTTTCTGATAGAAAGCTCCAGTAGTGTTTGCTTGTCTCTGGCCATGCTTTACATAGTGATATGTTAAATGACTTTAGTAGTTTTCAGTGTCTACCTGTCACTGATGTGAGCTGGATAATTCACACTTCAGATGAATGCCCTCATGCTGATTTACAGCTGCTTCAGGTTCTGGACTTTGTAATCATTCCAATTAGAGATTTGCTTCTCGGGGAAAGGAGCAGATAAGAATAGAAGATAAGGATCCACCCCAAGTACAGTCTCATTAAGCTATCGTAAACTCAGCAAATTTTGTAACTTTTTCATCCTATAGCAACAAATGAATTCCATCCATAAAACCTTAATGTCCAGGATAGCACTCCAATAAATTTTGATTTTATTGTTTCTTCTTCCTTGTTTACTGTTTGTAGTTCTACCATATTGCTTAGTCTCTATTCTTCTTGGCTGTTTTAGAGTATTCTTAGGTTTCTAAATTTATTTTTCAGCATTAAGAGAGAGGATATCTTCATTTCTTCAGTGTAGCAAACATCACATTTCTTGCCTTTTTACCTTCTCTGCAAGACTTCAGCACATAGCTGCCTCTTGTCCTCATGCCAGAATTCTTCGAGTTCTACAAAGGCAGAACTGATGGCAGAGGGCATGAGGCAAATCTCCAATTTTTGCTGAGAAAAAGGAATTATTCATGGTGGGGTGAGATGGTTTCCATTGAATTCGCTGCTACTTGTATTAACAGACTTTCTTACTCTGTTGAGATCCTTATATCCAGATTTCAACTTATATCCAGATCTCAACTATCCATCTCAACTTTGGCTAGGCAAAAAAAAAAAAAAAAAAGAAATCTTTTAGATTTAAAATGAAAAGCTGGAATAACGTTACATATGTTATTCCAGATGTTTGCCTTGACAAATTAGATTTGATAGGATTACTTTAAAAAAAAAAAGTATAAAAGTATTAAGGACATCCAGCAGGACTTGACAAAGAACACATATACTGGTGTATATTTTCATATATGTTGAGGAAATATCACATCATAATATGGAATTCCAAGGAAATGCTAATGATACAGACAGGATAAGTGATTCTTGCAGCTGAGCAGTGAATATAGAAAAGGAAAAATATCACTGAGAGGATAATCTTTTATCATCTTACTTAGGAGGGCAGGAAATTATAATTGAATGCCATTTTCTCTGTTGGAAGTCTAGGCCTTGATTTCCTGAAAATCAAGGGTAGTAGAAAAAAAATGCTAAAAAGTTTAATTGCTGAAGTTTTTATTATCTTTGCTAATGAAGTGTTAACTATGTTTATGTTGAGGTGTTGCATTTTTTTTTTTTTAAAGGAAAAGTTGCAAAGGTAACTGGATCACTTATATTAGGGTAAGTTGTAACTAAGAAACATACATGTAACTTGCATTAAGAAACATACACATAACTTGCATGTACAGTTTGAACTTTAAGTCCTGTAACTTCATAAAAATGTGATGCAGGTAAGGGATTTTTTTTGACATGAAAGAACATACTTTTGAAGCATAATTTTTTAAGTATTAGTTTTAACTATTTTAAATTGTATTTACTGTGCTAAATTCAAAGAATCTGCATGCTGATACATGTTTAGTAAAAACTAATATTTACAGATAAAGACTGTTTTGTACCAAACAAATTATTAATATATATTTGTTATCTTTTAAAATATTTTAATGATATTTAAGGATATTCATACACAATTTTCTTTTATTTTTAAAGAGGTTTTGTATTCATTACATATGAAGTTCTCTCCTTGAAGAAGTTATTGAAAATCGATACTCAAGCTATAAATCAAGAAAAAATTAAATCCTATGTATATGTACRTACAACTTCTTTGGATCCAAGTGAATATCAAGGTAAGATGTGTGTGTATATTTATGCAAAAAYGGATTTTTGTTTGTTTGCTTTTGAAATATTACCTACTAGCTAATATCAGCACCAAACATACTAGTTCACCAGACATAGCTAGATATTCTTCCACTGGTGTGCAGTTCCCTTTCTATCATAATAGGYACTGTACAGTATTTTATATGTTAATTTAACTTTCATTTTACTTGCATCTAGGTGAGATGATGTGTAAAGACAAAATCAAAATAGTGTATTTTTAAAGGAAGCGTTTTTATTTCGGGAGTGTTAACAACTTATGAGTCTTGTTCTTTCTGACTACACAGACCACAATGTGAGCAGTTGTTTAGGATCATGCCCTATTATCTGGCRTTTCATAGTTTGTGAAGAAAACTTCTTAAGAAGGGGGAAAAAATTCACAATGTGTTTTCATTAGAGTTATATATATTGAGTTATAGTTTATTATGCTTTTGCAAATGTGTGTAGTCCTTGTCTTCTCAAAAAATACGAAAACTTTTCACAGTTTGCTCCAACTTGCAATGTATAGAGAAAATGCCGCGAGAAACCACTAGTTGCAAGAAGTGTTCCAGAAAGTCTGTGGCATGTAGGTTGGTCTGCAAATCTACATCTCAGACCTTGTACAAATATTTTGATGTTTCTAGAAGTAACTTTTACATCAAGAAAGATGCATTTCCTGAGCTCTGTTAGGAGAAAGAAAAAACCTCAACACTGTTGCAGAATTTATCTTGAGATYGTGACTTTTTGTTGTTTAAGCTGTTCTAGGATGTAATAATTTAAGAACTTGTCCTTCACACTATAAATCATCTAAAATACTCTTTTAGGCATTACATACCAAGCCAGAAGAGAAATCCATAGAGCTGTGAGGAAAATTCTAGAAACAGAAGCTAAAATTCTCCGCAGACCTTTTAATGGTAGGTATTAAAAGCATGACTTTATCCATGGTTAATATATTGAATAGTAAAATATTAATCTTTTAGGATTTTTTTTTTCAAAATTTGTATATGCATTTTTTTTTCAAACAGTAGTGGGAGTATTAGTAGTGTTTCATGGACTCTTTTAATACAGACTATTAATATATTTTCTGTATATTAAACACAATCCTTRAAGTACTTTAAAAGGGATGCACACATTCAGCAGAATTGTCCACATTACATGAAAGCAGAATGCTTTCATTTGCTTTTCATTTGCTTTTCATTTCATTTTGATTTTCATTTCATCTGCTTTTTAGAATAACTTAAAATAGGAATTTGGAATTTGAATACTTGTTAAGAGACTGTGTTTCCTGATGTATTGTCTGAGACAAATTACTGTCCTCATTTAACTCATTAACTATCTCAATTTAACTGTTAATATTAGTTAAATTGTTATAGTAATATGTATTTTCATAGAAGAGTTATGAAATTAATTTATCAGTATTGCTCAGTTTTCTCAGTTGTGTGTGAGCTTCCAAGCTGCTAATCATTTCTAGCTGTTCTTGAAGCCTGGCAATTCAGGTTGGTAAATGCCAGCCAGTATACGTRTGTAAGGCAAATTAAAATATCCTAAATATATTTAATATTGACTTGGTGCCACTAAAATGAATCAAAACTTGCTATTAATTTAGAGGCCAACATTTTACKAACATCATTTTTTTCCAAATGACTGTCAACATCTAATAATGTGAAAATGTACGTAAACTTTAACCGAGTTTTCTTTCTTTTCTGGTAAAGAACACTTCAGCACGTTTGATGGAGAAGACCATGAATGTGCCTTGTGGCTCCTTTTGAAGAGGAGCCAGTCAGAAGACAGAGAGGTGCGGCTGCAGGCGGTGCAGGAGCTCGCAAAGAACAGCCACTGGCACGGTAATGCCTGCCGGGGAGTCCCCATCACCTCACGTGTGACTGGGGCTCAGTTAGTTGCTGCAGATCTGCTGCAAACATGGAAAAATTGCTGCACTTAGTGTAAATACACCTTGAAATTTCATCTAAAATGTGTTCTTATTTTCCTCTCAAGCGATTGTTTGCTCCTACTGTCATAAAGCAGAGCGTGTGTCTGCCCACCTCACTGTACTTGCCCCTCTGCAAGTTGTAGCCACAGTTAGAATGACATTTGCTCCGTGTATTCCTCACATTCATTACTTCCTTGGTGTTACTCTTGTGTCTGCCAACAGAACCTGGTGATGATTTTTGCAAGGCTCTGTAGGAATGGGATTCTGACTGTGGTTCAGTTAATAAAATTTTGTTAGGAGCTGGTAACTAGTAATAGATTGAAGTTCCTATCAATTTGAAATAATAAACTAGAGTCAGAACACTTTTATTTTGGTGTTGTTTGTAAGCCGTTTTTCCATTGTAGTTATTACTCATTTGGTAGTAAGTTATAAGAAGGGAGTTCATCTTCCCACATATTCTAAATATTTTTTAAATTTACTCTTCTCTAATATTTGATATTATAGATTAGATTATTTTGTCATATTATGTTACATATTAGAAAATATCAACACATTTTAAAAAATGCCTTTCTTTGCTATCTTTTTCACCTACTTTATCCACCTTCCTACAATGGGAATCACCTTGAAAAATGCTTCCTGTTAGCAGGTGATTTCGGGATCATTTCTCTAGATGTCTTCTGTCTCATTTCAGAGAGTTATAGGGTGACTGGTACTCAGGGATCAAGTTGCTCTTTTTCTCCTTTTCTTTCTGTTCTGCTCAATATAGTTCTCGTTGTTGTATTTGGGTATTTCACAAACCTCAGATGGGTGGGGTTTTTTTGGTATGGGGTTTTTTTTTTTTTTTTTTTTTTTGGTTTTTTTTTTTTTTTTTTGTTTTTTTTTTTTTTTTTTTTTCTCCAAAACTGAGTCCTAGGAAAGTTAAGACTGAAAGTATGTTCTAGCTTTTGACAGCTACGATGAACCATGTGAATTGTTCAGTGTAAATGTTACCATAAATATTCTATTTTGCATGTGAACAGCTTCACTGAAGTTGTTGAAGTACTTAAGGTTATCTTTAAACCTAACACTGAAATTCTTGTGCTGCAGGTTATCAATACAGCACAGTTGCTCAAGCCTGTGATCAAAGGACTGCTATAGGTTTGGCTCGGTCCAAAGATATTGACCTTCGATTTTTCCTGCCYCCACCATCATTGCCAAAAATCAAGGATGTAAGTAAATGGGGTTAGRTGTTAGCTGATTGTTGCTTGTTTATTTGTTTTAGTATTTTCATTTCTTGTAACCACACTGAAGTGGAGTTCTTCTGAAGTAGCTTAATGAGTTGTAAAATAAAGACCAAAATATGAAATTATATTGTAGCAATAAAGCCATGGAGACACATCGGTACTGGAGAATAGCAGATTGGAAATGATTCAGGATGGGGATTTCTAAGGTTAGAACAAAGCAAGAAGTTTAGAGCCTACTTTTTATCATTCACCTGGCTGGTTTTTGAATTTTACATGTCCAAAGTCTTTACAGAAGTTGCTGCGAAAGTTAAATTTCAGAGCACTAAAGTCCAGGTGTTATATTCTACAACTTTATTAATGTAGTTACTTCCATCGCTTCAGATGTTCCTTTAATTTCATATTGTGTTTTGATTCATGCTGTGGACTGAATTAAGAGGTGTTTGTGCTCACTTGCTACAGGATTATCCTATAGAAGATGAACTTCGTTTATTGTTAGTATCTTTACCTCAGAGCGATGTTGATCCATGTGTCCAGTACTTCACATCTCTYGCATTACGTGAAAGTAGTCAGACTCTTGCTGCAAAAAGGGTGAGTTCCCGTCCACAGAATAGAAGTGTTTGGGTTTTCTTTGTCCTACAGAGCTCAAAGACAAAAACCTATTTCTTGTATATCCAAAGAAACAAAATCTGTTTGGGCATTCTAAGAGTGAGAGAAGTGCAGGCTTTGGAACTGTACAGCCCAAGTGAAATCTCTTTCACGTACAGTCTGTGTGCTTTTAATCTTTTTTTTTTTTTCCTCTAATCTTTCCCAGGTTTGCTAACTGATACAGTGAGAGACGATCTCTCTACTTAGAAAGCTTCCCATAAACCTGGTATTTCAACATTTTACCCAGAGCCATAAAATGATTTGTCGCATTTTGTCTCCCTGRTGTTTGTTTTTTACTGTTCAAATGATGAACACTCTGTTAAGCCATGACAGACTGGACTTGAGAGACTGTACTAAGTGCTGAAAGATGATAGTCTAGTTCTTGGGACTATATGAATCTGAAAGCAATCTGATTATTGCTTTTCTGTGCTTAGTCAAACAATTTTAGAATAAAACACATACTAAATGAAAATCCTACATTTCCTCTCCACTCTTTATATTTTGAAGTTAATAGACTATGAAGATTGCTGATCCAAAACACTGATATTTTCAATTAAGAATGGTAGACATTTTTATGGTGTACTGTTACATAATCTGTACAGTTTAAAAAGCATATACATGCTGAGAACTGTCTATAGCAGCTTCTACAGGTCATTACACCCATAGTACTTGTTTTGGAAATGCTTATTTTATGTAGCCATTTGGAATGTGGCATAATGTTGCTGATGCTTATTTCAGGGAGGCCTCTGGTGTTTTGGAGGAAATGGGCTTCCATATTGTGAGACATTGGGTAAAATTCCTTCAGAGACAGTAGAACTCTTCTGCTTGCAAGCATTAGTGCAACACTCTAAGGTATCTGTCTTTTAAGTAATAATTAAAGTCTGCATTTGTAAACATTAATTTCTAGTGCCCTCTCATATTGAGAAGGAGCTACCATTTCCGTGTCTCCCACCCCACACCTCTTTTATAAACAAAAAGTGTTGAGGTAACTGAGACTCAGGTGAATGGGAAGACAGCAAGAAAAATTTTCTTTATTTATTTATTTATTTTTTTTTTTCCCTAGGAAAGTGTCCATAGGATCTGTTCTTAGGTATTGCTTCTAATTAGCCTGTGTGAGTTGCCTTGTAATGTATCTGCTTGTGTCCTTTAAGAAGTTGTCCCAGGCAGCTCTAGCAGAGAGCAGGAGTGACAAAGTCAGGCTGGCTTTGCCAAGCTGCCCTGTGCAGGACCGCCACCCGCCGGCACAGCCCAATGGTGGGAGCCACATTCTGGGAGGGGAGGCYTAGGGGTTCCACTCTGCAGCTTCTCAGTAAGCAGGATACTGATGGCATGAAGGTCTGGGTGCAAAGTCTGTGTGGGTTTGCGTGGGTTTGTGGATGTCAATCCTGAAAGCTTACAAGTGGCCTCTTGTTGTGGCTCTTAATCTAATTCTCTGGCTGAGTTGCCAGAAAGCAAAGGTAGCCTCTTGAATTCTCTCTAACCAGAAGCTAAGACAGATTATAAACTTTGGCCATCCACACAAGTCCATCTCTGAGGATCGTTGCCTTTGGACAGAGCTTTGCAAAGCTCAGAACTAACCCAGTGCATGTTCCCAGGAGCAGTCAGATCTTTGCAGACAGAGKTGAGGGATACAAAGGACTTCATGTAGCAGTGACATGTTGTGATTCCTCTTGCTGCATTCTTCTGTGTACCATTATTACTTGAAATTTGGTCGTGCCAAGTGGAGGGCAATCTCACCTCCCACAGAYATGAGAGTAAGGTATTTACTCTCATAAATACCTGTTCCATTTACAATTGTGTAGCATAACAAATTCTAGATGAAGTAAGAATTTCTGTTCAGTAGGTGCTTTATATCACTTCAATCCCCTTGTATTTCCATGCTCTGTGTATTAAGAGCACCTCAGAGAACTTTTTGAGAACATCAGCTTACATTGTATTTGCTCTCTAATGCTAGGTTTCTTCTCATTGTGATAAAATTGAAGCGAAAGGAGGCCTGCAGCTACTACAGAGGATATACCAGCTCCGTAAAGATTCTGCAAAAATTCAAAGGAACATAATTCGCATTATTGGAAATATGGCTTTGGATGAACGTCTTCATTCATCCATAGTACGTGCAGGTAAAATGAAAGCAAGTGAAAGGAGGCTGARTGCTGGATTTCTGTTCAAAAATTTCCAGCGGATTTGGTGCTTTTGTAARTTGTATAGGGAGAGTGGGTAAGGGGAGGAGGTTTGTTTATTTGTTAAGCATAAAAAATACAGACAGTTTAGACAATGTTGTTTTAAAATCACCTCATTTCTTTCTGTTTAGTCAATACGTGTCAATGCCTCAGAGGCACTTTCCTCTGGGCGCTTTTAGAGAAGGGCTGCTGGACAAGCAAAGGCCTTTGGTCTGAGTTCTAGGACTGTTCTTTTATTGTTGTTTTTATTCTTAATACTTTTCCCATGTGCCATTACTGCTGTGTTCTTAGCTTCAGCATGTCTGTATGCCCTGTGTGTGCTASAAGCTTCACACTGGGATGAGGCTGCTGCTCTCCTCTTTACAGTGACTTCTGTGCAGACACAGCCTGGACAGCTGCACTCTCTCTCGTTACTGCACTGGCCTCTGGATGCACTTTACCTTCTAAGAAGGGATCCTCCTTCAGATCATAACTTGCATAATAGCAAAATACATTACYTCTTCACCACTCTGGGCTTTTTATTATCAATTTTGGAGATTTCTGTCATCCACCTTTGACTTTCATCATCATTTTATGTTGTAACATTTATTTTCACAAGTATCCATTTGAAGGATGTTTCTGAATTCTCTTGTTTGGGGGCTATTCCTAATTACTTAATTAGCTGATTTATTTTTGCAATGTAGGTTGGGTTTCTGTGCTTGCTGAAGTAATGAAGTCTCCGCATGTCATTCAGTCTTCTCATGCATCCAGAGCTTTGGCTAACCTGGACAGGGATACCGTGCAAGAAAAGTACCCAGACGGGGTTTATGTTTTGCATCCACAGTATCGTAGCAGGTAAAGCAGAAGGGTCACACCATGCTTTGTGCTATTAGCTGTACTATTCATTTAAAAAAAAGAAAAAAAGAATCATAAAAGTGAAGTCCTGGTGCTGCTGTGCTCATGTCACCTGTTTTTCTTTGATTCTCTGGGAGGTTGCAGGGGTGGAATTTAGATGCTCAAATATGAGAACAGAAATGCTCTAAGCAGTCCCTAGCCATCAAAGGAGTGTTATGGTATTGTATAGAAAAATCCAAATCCAACATGCCAAATGAATTATTGCTTTGAACCCATTGCAACCATGTAGCCTTTCGCTGGCTGTTGTAGGATGCAATGTCTTGTAATCTTTCTGGCACATGATGGCCAGCTACAATTAATTTATGGTTAAAGCATCCCATAAAACCCTCTCAGCTTCTTTTAATTGTGATTGTATGTCTGGGAATGAAGCAGTTCCCGGAGTGATAAGTCATTTAGAAGCAGCTATATTCTCTGGCTCAGTGGTGTTAACCAGGCTATAGCAAAGGTTTAATTTGATGGTATAACTAGGGAATTACCAGGCTGTATTAATGGTAGGTGGAGAGAGTTGTATTTTTCATTATAGAAGAATTGGTACTTCYAGTATTTCCAATAAAATCCTTCTAGCACAGGGAAGGGAGCTGCACTTGCAACACACCTGAGGCTGAGCTTTGCAAGGCACCATACCTGTGCACTTCTGTTTCCAGCTGCTCTCACAAAACCTTGGCAAACCTTCCTACTGAAAATATTCTGGTTTCTTTCCCTGACTTACTCTGTGTGGGCATAAAATATTCTCAGTGGATTATCTTGGAAATATCTTCAGTAATTATTGCTAGAGTAGGTCGTGTAGTATCTGATTAATGCCAGCAACTTTGTGTCAATAMAGTATCAGGATCACCTTTTTATGTAGACGTGGATTTTATACAAAATCAACCAAGATTGATTTAAATAACTACAAAGCAATGTTATTACTGGAGAGGCCAAATTCAGTGACAGGATCGGGGATCCTTATTGTCTGTAGGGCCTTTCTTCAATGTTTCTTACCTTTTAGTAGTGGTGTTGTCTCTGGACAAGTCAGCAAACTTTTCAGTGTTTTGGGATAGTAAATGTTTCATGAAAATAGCAGTCTTCCTTCCTTTGAATGTACTAGTGTGGGATGGTCCAATTTTAAGGCTATTGTGTAAGTTTAAAATGAATCTTTTTTTCACAAATCGTATTACCATTGTCTTCTTTGAGCTGCATTTTTCAAAATGCAGCAGAGTCGCAGCCCAAATGCCAGAGTGTCCTCCCTAACAGCAGCTCTTGAGACCCGCACGTGGTTGTCCTCCAAGGAGTCCTTGGGYCCCATGTCCTTTCTGTGCCTCTTCCTGGAGAATGGATCTCTGGTTCCCATCTGAATATGAGTGTCCTCTGTGCAATAGTTTGTCCTCTCTAAGATAAGAAATCACATACAGTGTCAAAATCAGTGTGTTGGTAYCCCATAGGGTGAAAGTTCAGTATTGACTGTAATTTGCTAAAAGAGTATGTACCATCCATTTCCTAAAAGCTTCTTTTTGTATCAGTCAGCCCATCAAAGCAGACATCCTTTTTGTTCATGGTCTTTTGGGAGCAGCATTTAAAACCTGGCGACAGCAAGATAGAGACCAGCCTTTGGATCACAAGGCTTTAGAAGGGGAAGAGGACTACAGCCAATGCTGGCCAAAGGTAGGAAGACAATAACATTTCCACACAAAACTACTATTTTCTTATTGGAGACAGCTGTCCAGAGGTTCTGTAATAAACCTGTGTGGAAGTTGGAATCCTCTTGGAATCTAAGTAACTTTTAATATGGTTATATGAATAGCACTTTCTGAGTTTCTGATATGGTTGTGTTTATCAAGTTGAGATTGTGAGCAGCCTGTTCCTGCAAAATAACATCCCTGCTAAATTTAAAACTCTCACTCCATTCTTCTGCTAGTAAAAGACAAGTTGGTGCCTGCTTTCCTCTGAAATGTTCTGATGGAATGGAATAGCTGAGAAAAGATAGGTAAAAGTTAAATATGTTTTCATACCTATTTTCAGTATATTTTCAGTCTGAGTGCCTGAGTTTTTGCAGATTTTTGCACAAATATACCAATAAATAAATAGTTAACTGTTTTAATCAAGTTATAGCTCTGTAACCAGCAAAGTACATCTGTAAAAATATGTAATATATATAAAAATACTGATAGGCCCTCATTGGTAGTTTTAATAATTCTTTCATCACCCAGGAGAGGGAGCCAGGAATGCATGAATGATTCATCYAGCTCCAAGTTTTGCCTACTTTGTAACTGGGGAACATGCTAAGGGGTTTGCTGGGTTGTAGTACAAGAATAATAGTAATAATAGTTTAGGCCTATTTATATTTAGTTTAGGTATTTGGGGATTAGCTAAAGAGCAGAAATCTTCCTTGACATTATTCCCATAATAATAGCATTGCTTCATTGCTGGTAAAGTGCTTGTAAGAGATTAAGTACTTCATTTATAAGCTCAAAAGGTGGATTCTCTGATTGCCAGTCTAATGTATTTAAAATCAGATTTTAAGTCATTGGCAGTAATAATTATTCTTAAAACCAGAATTTAGCAGTTTATCTCTCCATAACTTTCCCGGAAATACAGTATGCTAACAGTATTGGAGAAGATTTGGGCGGGGAGATTTATTTTCAAGAAAGCACCTGCTTTAAAGACACACTGGGAAGACACTTTTGGAAAGGGCGGCATTTCTTATGTAGCTCATTTGAATGGAATTATTTTCCTCAAAAAAAGCTTAAGAGCAGATTACTAGTTTTGTCTGTGGATCAAATTCACTAATGCTTTTTTTTTTTTTTTCCCCCCTAATTAATGTAGACATGGTTGGCATCAGACTGTCCAGCCCTTAGAATTATATCTGTGGAGTATGACACCCACCTGAGTGACTGGGGAGCAAAATGTCCTGTTGAGGCCCACAGGTAAGGACTCAGGTGCACTGAGGGAGGAGGTGGAAGGGGGCAGTGGGAGGARGCCTGTCTTGCTGTGAGTGTTAACTTGCTTTTCGTGCTCCATTTGAAAATAAAGTTCAGAACCAGTAGTGATAWAGGAAATTAGGCTTTTGCACGGTGGCTACCTCAGTATCCTGTTTCCTTTCCTTTCATTTATTTCTACAAGTCGTTAGTTTATCCAGGGATCTTCTGTGTTTAATTCTTACTAGGAGTTGCAGGGTCAAACTTTCTGACTTGGATGGGGACGTGCGTCAGTTTTGTGTTTCCTTCTACCACAGCTACACATGCAGCTCCTCCTTTCTGGAATCTCTTCATTTATGAAAGAAATGAAAAGTATTATAATTTTATACTATTTATGTATAAARTATTTTGAGGTTGTTGTTTGAAAAGTATAACAGAAAAAAAAAATGTCTATTACTTTGGGATATATTGAATGATCTGCCCTTGTGGGTTACTCRTTTCCTGTGCATTGATGCACAAGTGCAACATTGTTTAGCAAAGCGCATCTTTGTCAGACTTCAGGTGTATTTTTGTTTCAGGGCACAGAACTCATTATGCATTGATGATGCTTCCCAAAATAGCTTTTTAATGATATGTAAATGAAGTTTAGAAACCCACAAAGAGATGTACGGAATTAATGCTAAAGGAAATAACTAGTCAGTGAAATTAGAAGATCACCTTCCAGCAAGACTGAGAAGCTGAATTCAGCTCAGTTCCCATTATCCTTGTGAATACAACCTTGTAAAAGTTTTAGAGATCATCAGATTTTCAGTTAATTGCTAATAGTAATTAAGCATGATCATCCRGGTACAGGTGTCCAGTTCCCTTTCATAAACACTCAGCACTGAAAATTTCTTCTGTTTTAACCTGTCATGATTCACTTTGCTTGTGCTTGTTCGTTTACAGAAAGTCCATTGCTTATAGGAGCAATGAGCTGCTTGACAAGCTCAGAGCTGCTGGTATTGGGGAGAGACCTTTGGTTTGGGTTTCACATAGCATGGGAGGTAAGCAAATTGCCTGGTTAATATAGTGCATTTGTCTGCCGTGGTATTCAGAGGAGGCTGTTTATCAAATCCAGTGTGGAATGTAATTATTCAGCATAGTTTTATCTCAGAAATGTACAGAGAGATTAAAAAAATCAAAACACATGTTTTTAATGCATTGCATTCRATAGCGCGTACATTTTGAGGGGATTTTTATTGCTGATTTTATTTTTGGTTGTACCGTGTTGATTACAAACACGAGATCAGTGAGTTGAAATTCACCTCAGTGTGAGTCCAGAGGCTACATTTTCTTCATGATCAGACATAAAGTAAGTGTCATTAGAAGTATGTAAGGTAGATGGAGTAAATTTGGTGAACTAGATTTGCACCATTCACTCGTTCACTGATATTTTATTTTAATGGCTYCTCAGGGTTGTTTTTTTTCCAGCCTAATGTTGCATGTTTGACAAACCACAGGCTAATCGACCAAAGCAAGAATGTGGTGCAATTGCTTTATGGATAATACAGCATGGTGATTGCTTTCACTGTGACTTAAGTCCCTGCCCTAATTCAGTTTCTGCTGCCAGGTCTTCTTGTCAAGAAGATGCTTGTGGACGCTTCCAAGAATCCAGAAATGGATAAAATTGTAAACAACACCAGAGGAATCATATTTTATAGTGTTCCTCACCATGGTTCCCAGCTGGCTGAATATTCTATAAATGCCAGATATCTTCTCTTCCCATCTGCGGAGGTTAAGGAACTCAGCAAGGGTACGCTCAGTTTGTTACCATCGAGCAGCAGGAATCTGTGTGRTCGTGTTTTGTTTTGTTTGAAATCATTTTCTGGGAAAATGCTGATGAAAACAACAACCCTTGTTTTTATGTTTAGAGTTGTGCATTGAATTGACAGAATAAATGTTGTATTTGACTGCAGAGGGAGAAAAAGGAATGAGACGGAGTTGATAGAAGAGTAGTTTGGGTCACTTARCAGTGGAATAAGTCGGGATGTGCAGAAATGTCTTGTAATTGAAAGACATTCCTTACAGAAAGAAGTAGTTGAAGTGGTGCTTTTGGTTACCTAAATAGGGATTACAAACAAAATATTATTCCATTACTCCTTATTCTGGGGAATTTGATTGTTCTAAAACATTTCTTTGGAAATGCAATCTTTCAGATAAATTCTATATTTCAAGCTAAAACTGCAAAAAAAATGTTATTCTTTCTCAGATTCTCCAGCCCTTAAGGAGCTGAACGATGACTTTCTGTCTTTTGCCAAAGAACAGAAATTTCCAGTGCTGAGTTTTGCRGAAACCTTACCAACACACATAGGCAGCATGATAAAACTGCACGTCGTACCCCTGGAATCAGCAGGTAGGTCAAGTAGCACTTATTTGTGTTTAATTTTGCAGGCCTTGGTGGAAGGGGAATGGCCTTGAATTCTTTAGTAGAAAGATCTAGAAAATAACATCTTTTTTTTTTTTTTTTTAACTTTTATTTAAATTTTTGACTGAGTTTAAACTATGGTCTTCCTGCTGAGATCAGAGGGAGCTGTGTGTATATAACACCACAGCAATTGTTTGTTTTGATCCTTCCAAATGCCACTATTATTTGCTTATTGAGAAGAACAAAGTAGACCCAGATCTAATGTGTTGTTGTCTAATGTGTAGTCCCTTTGTTTATAATTATTAGTAAGTCATCTCCATCTCTCTATAGAGAATTAGTAAACTGCTTAGTAAAAATAATGGATCACCAAACTATTTTACAGTGTTAAGGATCCTCTGTCTTTCATATCTTGGGTAGTCAAGAAACTTAAGCTCAAGCAGTACTTTTTAAAACAGAGYTGACCTCCAAATTCTCTTGATCTCTTCCCCTTTTGTAGGAGGAGAGAAAAACAGGCAGTTCCTTCTCTCGCCTTGTTCTTGGGTTTTCAGCTTAGAATTTTTTGTATAAATCTGATTTTTCTCAGKTTTTTCCTGAGCAAGACTATCCCTGCACTGCCCAAGGTACTGGTGCTGCACAGTAAGGGTCATGTGGCAGTCCCAGCATAGCCCAAACTGGGATGCTTGGGAGCAGTGAGAGCTGCCAGGAAAACGTAAAGGCTGTGATGTGCCCTACAGGCAGTGGTTAAAGTGAACACTTGACTTTGTCCTGAAAAGTCAGAGAATTTTTTTTTAGTTTACTAGAGTGTTTAGCAGCTTTTGAGGCCATCAGTAGTTGTCTTTTTAATCTGCGCATGAAAGTCATTTATTAAGAATATGAATAAATAATAGCAGTGAAAACCCTAGGTTCATTCAGACTTTTTTCAGGATTCAGATACCTTGGATTAAACCACATCCCTGTTCCCTGTTAAGCAAGTCAGTGCTTAAACTTCAGTACAGTCAGGACTTTGCTGTCAGGCAGGTGCCCGTAAATGGAGTTGTGCTTGTATTCAAAGGAGTCTGTGTGGAGAAGGGTGCATTTGTGAGCTCCCAGCCCAGGCAGGAGAACTCTTGGCTTAATGATTTACCAAAGAGACCAGTGTAATGACAGCAGCTCTGCCTATTAATAGAGTGCCTTGGTAGCTGCTTGGCACATAAAAAGAATAGCCTGATGCAATATAAAACAGGTGATCAGAAGACAGGAAATGAGTGAGAAATGGCTTCTTGCTACATATGCATCTTACTGAACTTTAGTGTTTTTTTTCTTCTTCTTTTTTCCCAGATTTGGGTATTGGAGACCTCATTCCAGTGGATGTTAATCATCTGAATATTTGYAAGCCGAAGAAGAAGGATGCTTTTCTGTACCAGCAAACACTGAAGTTCATTCAGGAGGTTTTATCCAGAGAACTTGGAAATTGAGCCTTTGCCACCCTCACTTGCTTGTTCCATGCCCGTGGTGTAACCCAGGCAAACGCTGCCCCGGCGCCTGCTGCGAGGTGGGCAGAACTGCTGGATCCTGCGGGAGCAGAAGCTGCTGCCGTGGGGATTTTTAGCGCAGCTGCAACTTGGAGAGCTCCTTGCCTTTGAAATACATTCAAGGGGAGCACAGGACTGTAGCTTGATGAAAAGAACAACAGCGTTGGCTTCGGGAAACACCTGCCTGCTGACAAAGCGTGTGCAGTTTCTGCAGCAGTTTGGCAGGGAGGGATGGGGGTTCGGGGGAACGGCAGTTGATGAGCCTCCCTTTGGAGCAGCCCTGCAAGCTGCCCCCTGCACCTCCAGTTTAGCCAAGAAAGGCTCTCTGGAAGGTTTTCGTTAGGGTAAATCTGCACCCGGGGTCTTGCAGAGAGGAGGGGAAACGGCTGAGATGGTTGTCAGCCGTGTCAGGGGAAGGCAGTGCGTGGCACTGCTGAAGCGCCCGTTTCTGCCCATGCTGGGGAGCCTGGCGGAAGTCTGAGGGAATCTAACTAAGCAGCTGGAGACAGCACTGGGATCGGTGGCCTCCTTATAGGAATCTTTGGAATTTGCCTTTTTGTGTAACAGATCCACCCAGAATTGTTAACAAAATCAGCGTCTGTTTCCTGCATAACAGCTTGGAGTTGTGATGGGGTGTCTTGTGTAACCACTGTAGCTGGTTTAGGCTGTTTGTGTATATATATGTGTGTGTGTGTGTATGAAAAAGAAAGGGGGAGGGGAGGAATCTTTTTGTGTTTTTGTATGTTTCCGTTTTAATCCTGCCAACTTTTGAGATTGCTTTTGAGAAGATCTGCCTGTGTTCCAGCTTGGGGCCACTCCATGTGCTGCTAGTGGAAGATACAGAACAGAGACCTCGYGGTGAGTGTCCAGCTTCACTCTTGGGACATGCTGAGAAGAGGGTAAATTAATTCCCAGGCTTGGTTTGCTCATTTTTAGCAATGATGTAAAGAAGAGCACTGATAATGCCCAAATAGAAAAAGATATTCACAGGTCCTGACAAGAAAGCTCATCAACCTAGAGGAGTGAAGCTCAGGGAGGAAGTAAGCAAAGCAGGAGAGAAGGCAGATGTCATAGGGTCTCACAGGAGGTGCAGAAGAGCCCAGGTATTTTTGTTTCTTGAGGCCCARCTGGACTTACTTGTGTTGGTGAAGAGGGAAAACAACACTTTGTCTTAGGTAAGTTCTGTCATTATATCTCTCTGGCTAGAGGTCCAAAGGACGCCTTAARAGTACTGATGGGAATTAAGTGTTCTTCGGAGGAGAGGGGAGCAGGAAAAAAAGGATGAAAACTGCTTTTTTTCCTTTTTTTTTCTTTAAGTCTTAAAAGACCTGGAGGGYGTTTTCAGGGCAGCGCGGTTGAGGTGAGGTCTGAGGCGGCCCCGCGCTCTCTCTTCCCGTTGCCGGCCGCGCTCCCTGACCGAGGCCCCGGTCGGAGCAGGCCCTGGCTCGYGGCAGCAGCCCCAGCAGAGCGAGGCCCCCATGGGGCTTTCCCAGGCCCAGAATTCCTGCCTGGACTGGTGAGGAAAAAGCCCTTTGGGGAGTTAAGCTTTGACGTGCTGCGCTTGCACGTGAGAATCCAGAGCACTGCAGAGACACAAGCCGCTTTTTGGGTTTTCCCCTCCATAACCAAGGTGTGTGTAAGAGCAGTGGATGCCACCACTCCACCTGGAAAATGTTCAGAGCCTTAAAGGAGTTTATCCTATTTACACCGCGCTTAAGCTCCACCACTCCACCTGGAAAATGTTCAGAGCCTTAAAGGAGTTTATCCTATTTACACCGCGCTTAAGCTCCAGAGTGCGCAGCTTTAGGAAACCTCGTGTTCACAAAGAGGATATATGGAACTCAGTTTGAATAGACAGGACTTCCCATAATGAAATACGTGCCATGTGACAGAGCCCCTCTTGCCTTGAACAGCCTGTTTTGGCTTGACGGGCTCAGATCAACAGCRTCACGTGAACGCTGCTGTGTTTAGTTGCTCTAACTGGAGCTCTTGAGGCAACTTTCTGCTTTTTGTGACTATGTGCAATACATGTGTAGCTCTTAAAACTAAGAGTTTATGTATTCTCTTTCTTTGGTAAATTATTGTTTTAAAAATGTAGGAGGTGCGGCAACAAACTGTATTAAAGGTGAGCAACCTGCTAGGTGCACGTGCCCGATCATGTTCTGCTGTTGAAGATCTGTGGGGTTTTTAGTGGCTGTCCCTGCTGTCAGAGCTGCACCTGGATCAGGACAGGGGTGTTGCGAGGCCCAGTGGCGCCACCCAGCCTTATGGCTCTGGGCCCGGAGCTCCCACCCGCCCGCTCTTGTGTTTCGTGTTTTGTTCTCCCTCAAAGCGCCTCCTAAACCTYGCGCAGAGGGGGCTCCAGGGGCCAAGCTCTAGGTGTGTTGTTTGGTCTAAACGTGTGCATGCCATTGGAGACTGCGGCTCCCCTGGCYGTTCCTGTTAATCCAGAGTAGAGCCTTTAGGTGAAAGTGCCTCCCTGAGGCGGTGTCACTGCTTGATCCCCTGCTCCCGCCCAGGAGGCGGTTGTGCCGCCCAAGATGGCTTCCACGCATGCTGGGTGCGGCACCCASGAGCACCGAGCGGGGCGCCGGGCGCCGGCGGGAACGTGTCGGTGTCGCTGCGCAGCGCCCCCGTGCGGGCGCCTTGGGGGCTGCGGCTGTGGAGCCTGGAGCTGCCCTGACTGCAGCTGGGCTCCCGCTGGGGCTCGGCCCGGCCGCGCCGGGCCCTGCGGCTGCCCCGGAGCAGCAGCGTTCGCTCACTGTGGTGTCTTTGCCTTCAGACTTCTGATTTTACAKTAAAAAAAAAGCCTAAATTATGGGCGGCAGAATAACAGTTCTTGAATATGTCAGTTTTCTCTTTTTTTTTCTTTTCGTACGCTTGCTGAGAAAAACTGGTCAGTGTCTAGGGAGGAACTGATGGCAGCTGGCAAGCTGCATGTGGATTTTCTCAAGCGGAAGTTGGGAAGGTTTTTTTCTGTTGTTTCTTTTGTTGTTTTTTTTTCCATTTGGAAACTCACTAAAGGAAAGTTCTATTTCCATCTGCTTTTATTAGGGTATTGTTGGATAGCCAAACCCTAGTCCTCTTGTAAAGGACACATCTAAATAGCCAAGAGYGACCGAGAATGTTGTGGGCTGCAGCTTGTCTGGGAGTTGGTGTCTGAGCCATGSGTGCAGTCCAGTGTGTGTCCTTACAGTTCCTGAAAACGTCACAAGCAGCATCAGCGTGAGCCTTAGCTTTTGTTTGTTCTCCATCTCCAACTTCCTTTTACCTTCTTAAAGTTCCTGTGCACGACAGTGCTGGTGCTGGAGGGTTTTTGGCTTTTTTGTTCACCGTATCTTTTACAAAAAAAATCACCTTATTGTGCTGCCTCCCCAAAAAAGGTGTTATTTCCCCGAACTCGCTAGCTAGCCAAGGCACCAGTGCCACAGCGTACCGGGAGCAGGTCCGTGGAAGTGGATGGCATKGTCTTCTGTCATGGCATGACAGAAGAAAAGAGGGAAGGCTGCAGAAGTGGGACCTGGCCTCGCTGGCTGCTGCAGGTGTTTGTTTGCTCTAGGAGGTGAGAGGAGAGGGACGTGCCAATGTCGGAAGGTAACTGGGACCCTCGGGCTGCTGTGGAAGCTGCCAGGACTGCTGTGAGTCAGCAGGAGAACAAGAGATGCCACCCTCCTCTTCTGTCCTCTGTCTTCCTTCTCCACATGTCTGAGAGAAGGAGGGAAGGATGAAGGGAGGGATGTGAGAGCTGGAGGATGGCTCCCTAGCTAACTGGGCTCTGCGTCTCTGGGGAAATGGTGGAGAAGGAGGGAGAATACCAACTACGAGCCGGATTTTGGCTAGGAAGGCAAACGTGGCAAGTTCCCCAGCTGCAAGCGCAGCAAGACAGGGAAGGGATGGGAGGTTGTGGAAGGGAGTTGTGCTTGGCCTAGTGAGTGGTGGTGGTAAGGAGAAACTTTTCCTGAGGGGAGTTTCAAAATTCAAACGCACTGCTCCATTTTACAGTCTGGAGTTGGCAACTTCTGGGTCTTGGGCAGATTCCCGCAGTGCAACACTCTTGCAGTCTGGCCCAGTAAATGAACAGGCACATATATAAATATATGTATATACAAAATATATATTTGCAGCTAATAAGTGATTCGTACCTGCATTTATAGCCAAGATCAAAGAGCAATTCTGAGGTTTCCAATTGCTGCTTTCCCAAGCTCATAGATGTAAAGAAAGGTGGGAGGCTCCTTGACATTCTCAAGTTGGCCGGTTGGGGATTTGATGCCCGTCCCTGAGAAGGTTGTTTCCAGTGCTGGGGGCTCAGYGCAGCTGGGCAGAAGGGCTGTAGAGGATGAGGTCAGGGCCACGCTGCAGAGTCCCAGGTTTTGACCAGCTGGTTCTGGGTATTTGGCCCCTTTTTTGCGGTGTGGAGGGGCCCAGCTTAGACCTGAGAGAGAGGAGGGAGCGCAAGCAGGGCTGGCCGCGCTTGTCCGGGGCAGCAGCACCAGAGCCCAGGTGCCAGCACTCGCTACGGGGAGTATCAGACCCCAGTATGAGGGATAATAAATTAAGGCAGCAGATTCCCCCATTGGCTGCTGTAACCTTTTCAGCTGCGCAGGCCCCTTGATKTGTTGTGGCTGAGCTGAAGCTGCAGACACTGATGCTTTAACCAGCCAGCGGCAGCAGTTCAGGCTTTCATGGGCAGCCTTCCCCATGTACAGACATAGCTCTAAAGGCCACGTACGTCTCTTATTCAAGCAGAGTAATAAGAACTTTTATTTGACATCCAGGAATCCATTTTAATTGGCTTTCATGGTAACAGTTTCATTAACATGTAAATTAGCTGTCTCAGGGCTGTTAATCATCTTTGCACAGGCTGCYGGGTGTATAAGGTCCTCTCGTTTTCCTGCTCTCCTAATGCTTTGTACTGAAATGGGTCCATAAAGAAGCAGTTGGGGGTGGGGAGAGGGTGATACTGTTGTTACCCACGAGGTGCAGGACGTGGCTCTGCCCCACAGGGCGCAGCAGCCGGGGGCAGGGGTTCCCTCACAGAATGTCCTGCAGCCAAACCCGGCTCAAGAGGACACCGAGCGTGGGTAGCAGCAGTAAAAAGGTGAGCAGGTGCCCTTGCTGAGCAGCTAAGGACAAAGCAGCTTTCCTAGGAAGAAGAACAGCCTTGGCACATTATTACTGTGGGTAGCTGCACCAAAATAAAGGGCGTCGTAGAGGCAGAACTGCCACCTTGTGCATAGCGGAGTGAGGCTGTCCCGGTGGKGGTGGCTGAGGCCGCTCGCAGGGCGCAGCAGAACCCATGAGCACTCCAGGGCCCGTGACCTACAACTCGCTCGCCCTGTGGGCTCCTCTCCTGGCCTGGTAAGGGTGCAGGAGGAGCAAGGCCAGCATCAGGACCATCTGCCTGCAGCTGTGCCGGGGGACGGAGTGTCCTCATCCTGCTCATGTTTCCAGGCCTGACGGCATCATGTTGTTTTGACCCCGTTTGCAAGAAGGTGCCGCRGGCCGCTCCCTGCTGCCCTCACGCACCGTCACGCACGCGCTGCGAGAGGCGGCCGCAGCTGGGGCGGGGCTGCCCCCGCTCCCGGCTCCAGCTCCGGGCTCCTTCCTCCCCGGACGCTGCTGCACCGTGGCTTTATGGCCAGCAGCAGAGCCCTCCATTGCGCCGAGGAGC